AACCCTAACCCTTGATTAAAGTTGATGCCTGTCATAGTTTGCTGTACAAATTCGAGCCTCATACATGGCGACTCGGTCCAAAGCCTGTTTTGCTGGCGCGCCAGGCCGCTCATGTTGGCGTTCAATCACAGCTGCGCTGTGCCGCTCATTGCTGTTCAATTGCAGTAGCGAACATTGCATGTTGTGCCACGCTTGACTGGGGGTTCGTCGCAAGGCCAAAGCGGTTTGCGCAGCCACTTGTGCCCAGACCACCAAGCGAGACATGCTAGCAGCACAATGTTCGGCTTCTTCTGCACGAGATCACGCTGCCAAGCAGATGTTGGCCTGTTCCTGGGGCAGGACCATCCGAGACGAAGCGCGTAACTTAGCCGACGCAGGTCTGACCCTATCCAGGAACACAGATGCGCCACCGTGCTTCTCTTTCCGCTGGAAAGAAAATGGCGTGGCGGCGAGGGTGTGACCAAAGCCGGTTAGCACGGCTTTGCTCGGCGTCAAACTTGTCCTGTAAGCGAGCGTCAGCTGGTGAAATTATGGACGGAGGGGTCTTCAGCGAATGACGGTTCAGCTGAGCCGCAGCAAGGTGCGGACGAAGGAGCTGCGATGCGGGGTTTGCAGTCTCCGCAGGAACGGCGCTGACGAGGGAAAACGTGCGAAACGAGAGCGCGTGCAAGCCCACATCCAGTGCGGAGTCACGGCAATCTCAGTTGCGGGGCAGAGACAAGGTGGGGTTGGGCGTGGGGCGTGGGGCGAAGGCCGGTCAGGGCGACGTGCATGAAAAGCGGTCATGAGGTCGACGAGTGGAGCGCGAGTAAACTGAGAGAGCAGCGCGACAACACGGCCGGAAGCAGTGGTCCGAAGAGACAGCATGAAACCGTCGATGCGGCGGCACACGTTTGCCTCCGTCGAGAAGGCTCTGGCGGAATCAATGGCCGCCATCGGAGAGAAAAAGAAGGCAAAGAAGGACTTCGGTGTTTTCGCCATTTCGGTGCTGCCATGCTCGCTTAGCAGGGTTGTCCGAAAAAAGGGATCCGACGCGAGGCGGCCTCGCGAAACGCACACGGCGACATCGGCCAACCGGTTCATGCTAGACAGTGCGACAAAGTCCGAAGCAACGGCCTTGTCTGGAAATCACAGGTAACAACAGTAGCCGGTCGAGCCGGTCGACCGATCGTGTCTGCCTCGCCTGCAGTCCATCTGAACCTTTTCTTGACTCGTCTCCGATGAGTCCCTTTTTCCCGAAGCGTATCGAGGGACAGGTTCGACAAATCGAACCTGACTTCGGGACGAAAGCTTGCTCCGGACAAAGGGGCGAGGCGGCAGAGGCAGACGAGGAGAAAGATGGAAGTTCGGACTTGGCCGCACTTCGCCGTTGGCAAGGTCGCTGTGGCTTGCAGCAGCGCTCGGTGGATTTCTTTGGTTCGCACACTTTCGTTGCCGGTCGAGGAGAGCGGGGCGACTGGGCAGTTTGCTCTGCTTCCTCTCGTCCGGCGGCAATGACGGGCAAGAACGAAGAGGTGGCGGAAGGGTAAAATGAAGGCGGACGACGACGACCGGCGGTGCCAGCTGACAGACGTGACAGACGTGGGAGCAAGGGGAGACCAAGCGGAAGCACCGACGCGATTGGACGAGCGGCGCGGTCTGTCTCGCTCTTCGTCGGCCTCCGCCACGCGGGCGTCCGCACGCGCACGTCCGCAGCGTCCGGCTCTTCACTAGCCAGCCGCGTCAAACTTCGCTTCCAGCCTGCGGAAAGCGTGCGGAGTTGGAAAAGAAAATGTGCGAGAATCGAAAGAAAAAAATGTCCGGCTGCCGCGCCTCTCCGCACTTCGGATGCATGTCACTCGACCACTGCGGCACAATCCGAGGAGTGCCGATCCCGCTTCCCACCTCGCCCAGCCTGACACACGCCTCGATCAATCAGAGCACGACATCGGCGAAGCCGACAGACGAGTGAGGAGACACTGCTACTCTGCAGGAGATTAGGTGCGTGGGTTCGCTCAGCGAGCGCTAGAGGGGTCCGAGTGGCTGTTGGCGGGCGTGAGTGCGTTGGAAAGCCTAGGCAGTGAGGTCCAGGCGTCGAGCTCATTTGCCTGAGGCGGATTCGATGCTTCGCTAGACGAGCGAGCCGAGCCAACCACGCTGCATCACTCGACGTTCCTTGCAACCGCACTTGCGCATGACCACCCCCTCTCGCTGCCAGCCGAGGTTTCGCCCTGACTCTTTGCTGCCATGCTGGCCTTCGCCACTGCCGCAGCGCTGCGACACCGGCGAGAGCTCGGATGCAGCTGGCCAAGGTGCAGGTGCAGGTGCAGGTGCAGCTCGCTAGCTAGTCGATCCAGCACCCTGGCCGCCCACAGTGGGGCACCACGCTTGCCACGCCGCAGGACTTCTCCATGGGGCACCAGATCTGGAAGCGTGGTCCTCCGCTTTTGCTCTCAGCACCACAGATCTATTGCAGGGAAGACGTCGAGGCCTCCTTTTCCTCGCGCTTCGCCGGCCTTTATCTCCAGCATTTCCTCGTCTCCAGCTCTTGCCGCTTCGAGCGTCCGGTGGCCATCCTGGACAGCATCTTGGATAGCAGCTTGGAGACAGAGGCATAAATATCCAGCTCCCCGCATCTCCGCTCCGGCCCCCTTTTTTCCCCACTCAATTCCCTCCCTCCCCAGAGCTCGCCACAATGGGTCGCATCACCAACCCCTACGTGCTGACGGCACTCGCCTGTACCGGCGGTCTGCTCTTCGGCTTCGACATCTCGAGCATGAGCGCTATCATCTCCTCGCCCAACTACCTCACCTATTTCGGCCCCAAGGACCTGACCGTCGAGTGCCCCGACCGCCCCGGAGCCCTTTGCAACATCGGTCCCAGCCCCAGTGTACAGGGTGGTATCACGGCTTCCATGGCCGGAGGTTCCTTCATCGCCTCGCTCTTCTCCGGCATTGTGGCGGACCGCTTTGGTCGTCGTTCTGCAATCTTCCTTGGCTGCATCCTTTGGGTAATTGGTTCCATTCTCACCTGCGCCGTTAAAAACATCGGCATGCTCATCGTAGGCCGTATCTTCAACGGCATGTGCGTTGGTCTCGCCTCGGCTCAGGTGCCCGTCTATCTCTCCGAGCTCTCGCCCGCCCGCATCCGTGGTCGCCTCGTCGGCTGCCAGCAGTGGGCCATCACCTGGGGTATTTGTATCTTCTTTTTCATCTGCTACGGCTGCTCCTTTATTGGCAAGCAGATCGACGGTCAGCAGGACGGAAGAGGTACTGCTTCCTTTCGCGTGCCCTGGGGTCTCCAGATGATTCCCGCGCTTGTTCTGATGGCTCTGGTCCCCATGATGCCCGAGTCACCCCGATGGCTCATTACCATGGGCCGCAACGCCGAGGCCCTCGAGATCCTCGGCCAGGTTCACGCGAGCGGAGACCAGAATGCACCCGAAGTACAAGCCGAATACAAAGAGATCTGCCAGAACATCGAGGAGAGCACCGGCGAAGGCTCTGGCTACATTGACCTCTTCCGCAATGGCAACGCCTGGAGGACCCACATCGCCATGTTCACGCAGATCTGGTCGCAGGTAAGTGCCCGATTGCATCCCTTGCGGATCAAGTCAAGTTAAGTCAACCCTGATACTGACCCTGTCATGAACGTGACGATCGCGTCACGTAGCTTACTGGTATGAACGTCATGATGTATTACCTCTCGTACGTTTTCGAGATGGCCGGAATCACTGGCAACATCGCTCTGATCTCCAACGGCATCCAATATGTCATTAACGTCGTAATGACCGTGCCGGCACTTCTCTACATCGACCGATGGGGCCGCCGCCCGACGCTGCTCATCGGCTCCACCCTCATGACCATCTGGCTCTTCGCCGTCGCCGGTCTCATGGGCAACTACGGCCATCCATTCCCCAATTCGGGAAACTCGGTAGTCCAATGGCAGGTCACTGGACCCGCATCCAAGGCCGTCATCGCCTGCTCCTACCTCTTTGTGGCGAGTTTTGCACCAACATGGGGTCCAGTATCCTGGATCTACGTTCCCGAGCTGTTTGGGAATCGTCTGCGAGGCAAGAGCAACTCGGTGTCGACCGCGAGCAACTGGGCTTTCAACTTCGCCCTTGGCTACTTCGTTCCGCCCGCATTTCACAACATCAAATGGAGAGCCTACATTGTCTTTGGCTGCTTCACGGTTGCCATGACGATCCACGTCTTCTTTGCCTTCCCCGAGACTGCTGGCAAGACGCTCGAGGAGGTCGACGAGATCTTCCAGTCTGGTGTCCCCGCCTGGAAGACGCGCAAGGGTTCGGGCGCTCTCGCTCGCGACATCGAGGCTGTCAAGGTCGGCAACGCCCCCGTCTTCACCCGCCAGGCCAGCACTCCCAGCGACTCGGCCGACGAGAAGGAGTTCAAGGCTTAAAAGTTTCTCGATGAAATGCATGGACCCTGCAAGCAGCGTCGGGTGAGCCATGCACCCATGTCTTGGTCTCTTTGGTCTCGCGTCAGTTCAGTTGTGCACTCGTGCTTTCATTCGAACCCAATGCTTCCTTGCGGATCTGATCTGTAGGACGCCCTTGGTGGCACAGCTTTTCAACTCTGTATACCTATGATGGATGAATGGAATTATCACATCCTCTCTCGAACCATTTGTGTTGTACTGGATTGTGATTTTGGGCACTGAATATTCGACCCATTTTTTTGAGAGATGCCATCGGCAGGGAAAAATTCCGGGTGGCTGCTCGTGGGCGCGACCGGCCTGGTCAACGGAGTGAATCGCCTTCGTTCGATTCTCCCACTCAGGATCCCAACCGGGTGCGTCTACAAGACTTAAGCAAGCGATCTTCGCCCGATGGAGTCACTGCGTCCAAGACAAGAGATACACAGAAACAGCTCGGACCTGCACAGGAAGACAGGACAACTTCGCATCCGCAGACTAGAGCAGTGCATTTGCAGCGTGTGCGGGGGTGATGGGTATACGCAGTGAAAGAACTGCATCGATACGGTGACTAGACGTTACAGCGAGCGTTTCATGGATCAGCCTGTTGAGCTTGATGTGGCGCGTCGGAGGCATCTTCGTCGCCGGTGCCGGCTCTGGGCTGACTTTTCCAGTCTCCTCCCGACTGACCGCTGCGCCAGTCGCGCTTCGGTGGCGCCTCTGCATCCTCTGCATCTCCCGCAGACAGCTCCTCGCCTTGGTCCAGTGCAAGCCTCTCTTTCCATCCGAGCTTCCGCGTTGACCCTGCAGCAGCAGCTGCGGCTTTGGCCTCCTCCTTGCGCTTCTTGAGCTCGACGGCGAGCTGGTGGTTGAGCTGCTTGCGCAGTGGTGCCGAGGCATACCTGAGGTGCATAAAGTTGCAGAACCCACCGCGGTTGCACTCGTTGGTCTCGTTCTGCCGGCAACAGGCCTCTTGGAAGTCGGTCACTGGGCTCAGCTCTGCAAACAGCGGCTTGGCATCGTACCAGCGGTCGTTGAGTGCATCGACGGCGAGCTGTGCATCCGCCTCGTACTTGTACCGCGCATACACGTTGCCGATGAGATGATCGCCGACGTTGTCGCAAACATGCATCTCCTGCAGCTCGCCGTACTTGGCAAGCTCGCAGAACATGTCTTCGTAGAATTCGTCGAATTGCGCCTGCAGCTCCGCGTCGGTGATGGCGCAGTCCTGCTCGTGGTGGCGCGGGTTGCGATAGACATTGGAGAGCAAAAGCGTGCACGAGTATGGAGGGCGAATGTGCTTGCGCGAACAGCGGTCACCGTGACGACATGCGCCGATTTTGTAGTAGAAGGAGCAGTTGACCTTGTCCTGTTCGGTGCCGTAGATCGACGCCAAGTACGAAGCCATCGTGGCGTGTGTCCGGCTGAGCGAGTGGTGTACGCTATGTCAAGGTCTCGATCCGACCTCTGTGTTGGACGACAATGTGACCGTGACTCTACCGCCAAGATGATCGATTGGTAGGCAGATGGACTGGCTCAAATGTAGGTATCGCGGATGGTGGTGGCTGAGTTGCTGAGCGGCATGTCGGAGCGGGAGAAACTTGCGTCTTGTCCAAAAGTGCGGCTTCGACCCCGAGACCCGGGCGCCCTATGCGATTTCTTGTCGGCCGGTAAGAATTTTCGGCTGCTGTGCTGAACTCCACAAAAATGTCCTCACCGCCGTGTGCCCGAAAGTGAATTTTTTGCGTTGAACTGCAAGCCTGCTTTTTGCTGCGACTTCAACAGGGTCCGCCTCTTTGACTCTTTGCCGTCACTTTTGCCGCTGAGCACCTTCAGCATCCTTCCTCCAATCACTCATCTCGGCTCCGCTACGACAGCATTCAGTACTCTAAACCAGTCGGCCTGGAGTGACTATCGACCATGGCTGAGCCATCCTCTTCCAAGGTCAAGGCGGACTCGCTTCTTCCACCAGAGAAGCGCGAGGCGGCTCTCTCTCAGACCACCGCTGCCGCATCCACTTCCACGAATGCTCTCTCCGACAAGCACGGCATCGAGCTTCCCAGCCAAGAAGATGCCGAACGTCTCGGCTTCAACGTCTTCTCCCACATCCTCGATCCGCGTCTCTTGAGGTCGCTCGCCGATCTTGGCTTCGGCATCCCCACTCCTATCCAGCAAAAAGCCATCCCGCTTGCGCTCTCAGGAAAGGACATTCTGGCACGAGCACGCACTGGCTCGGGAAAGACGCTGGCGTACGGCCTGCCGCTCCTCCAGAAGGTGCTCGATGCCAAGGCGGCCGTGGCCAAGTCGGATCCGAAGCACCAGCTCACGCGTGCGCTCGTCCTCGTGCCCACGCGCGAACTCGCAGAACAGGTCTTCCGCCACCTCTCCGTAGTCATTGAATACCTTCGCGACGATGTGCGCATTGTCAACGTCGCCCGTGATGCGTCCGAAAAGGTGCAGCGTCTGCTGCTCAGCGAAAAGCCCGACGTCGTCATCGCCACGCCTTCCAAGGCGCTCAGCTACCTTCAGAATGGCTCACTCGATCTCAAGTCCGGCCTCGAGACGCTCGCTATCGATGAGGCCGACCTCATCCTCTCGTACGGTCACGACTCGGACGTCAAGTCTCTTCTTGGTGGCAGCTTCCTCCCCTCTCACTTCCAGTCCTTCCTCATGTCGGCCACTATGACTTCGGACGTCTCCAAGCTCAAGGGCCTCCTCCTGCGCAACCCTGTCGTGCTCAAGCTCAACGAAACCGACGATGCGGCAGGCTCGAATCTGGTCCAATTCTACACCCGTACCACCGAGGAGGACAAGTTCCTGCTTGTCTACGTCATCCTCAAGCTCAAGCTCATCCGCGGCAAGGCAATCCTGTTCGTCAACGAGCTCGAGCGCGGATACCGGCTCAAGCTCTTCCTCGAAAAGTTCGGCCTGCGTGCCTGCGTCCTCAACGCCGAACTGCCCATCAACTCGCGTTACAGCATCGTCGAGGAATTCAACAAGGGCAAGTTCGACTATATTGTTGCCACCGACGAGCCGACTGGCGTCAACCAGGAGGCTGAGGAGGGCAGCGATGACGAGTCCGCCGACGAAGGAGAAGATGTTGCAGAGAATGCCGAGGATGACAGCACCAAGAAGCGCAAGAGCGGAGCGGCGGAAGGCAAGGCTGCGGGGAAGAAGGCTAAGCGTGAGGGAAAGAAAGGTTCAGCAGGTGCGGCCGAATTCGGCGTCTCACGCGGAGTCGACTTTGTCAACGTGTCGTGCGTCATCAACTTCGACCTCCCCACCAGCGTCGATGGTTACATCCACCGCGTCGGCCGAACCGCACGCGGCGGCGCCTCGGGAACCGCGTTGAGCTTTGTGGTGCCCTCGTCCGAGTTTGGTCGATCCAAGTACCTAAGCTGCGGATCCACACGGCGCGACGAGTCGGTCTTCCGACAGATCCAACGCCGCAATGCCGCCGGTGGCGAGCTGCAGGAGTGGAAGTACGATGCGTCTTCCGTCGAAGGCTTCCGCTATCGAGTCGGAGACACGCTCAAGAGCATCACGCGTGCGCTCATCCGCGAGGCGCGCATCAAGGAGCTCAAAGCCGAACTGCTCACCTCTGCTAAGCTTCAGGCGCACTTTGAGGACCACCCCGACGACCTTGCTTATCTCCAACACGACCGCGCTCTCCTCTCCACCCGCTCTGGCCAGCAACATCTCAAGCATGTTCCGGCCTATCTTGCACCAAAGATCATCAACAACTCCATGGCTCAGCCGCGGGCATACACGGGTTACGTGCCCAAGAACAAGCCGAGCGAGGGGAAGAACCGGAAGAACCGCAAAGCAAGGAGCTCCACCGCCGCTAGCGGCAAAAAGCCCGGGAAGAAGGCCGATCCCCTCCGCAAGTTTTCGAAGAAGTAGATTTTCTGCTCACTTCACTGTCACACCTTCATACCTCGCATCGCTGCAATCACATTCTCTCCGCAGCAGTCACAGTTCCCGCCTCTTCCGCACGCGTGTGTGTCCGAATGTGAAAAATTGGAATTGCGCCTGCTTACTCTGACTGCCTACTGAATCTCCCAGAACAGCCTTTTGTTGGGCTGCTCACTCGCCTGACCCTCGTCACTGGCGCGCTTCCACCCACGAACGACGGCGCTGAGCGGGATGATGTGGGCAGACTTCGCGATCGCCTTGACCTCGTCCTCGCTTTGCACCTTGGGGGCGCTGGAACGGTAGGCGGCGAGCTGATCAATGCGCGTTTTTGCCGCCCTCCTGCCCTTGGCCTGCGCATAGCCGGGCTGCTTCAGCTCGACCGACTCGACGACGAGCGAGACGCCGTCGTGCGAGTTGCCCCACGACCTCGACTTGATGCCGCCGCGCTGGCAACCCTTGTACGCGATGAGCTTGGGCGCGATGCGCAGGATCACGGACAGATCGCAGCACGCGCGAACAGCCGTCGCTTTCTTGGCCTCCACGCCTTCCTTGCTGGGCTGCGCATCTGCGGCGGACACATCGGCCATCTCGACATCGGCTCGGCTGGCGGCCTTGGGCTTCTCCTTTCCGCTAACAGTGAGGCCGTTCCAGGCGCGTGCGGCGCGTCCGGGCGGCACCCAGGCTGGAATGCCCTCGGACTCGAGCGAGGGTCCCTCAACCCAGCCGGCATGCACGCACATGGCGAGCACGTCCGAGTCGTCCGTGTACACGTCGGTTCCCCACAGCTTGCGGCGCAGTAGCGGGTTCAGCCGCCAGAAGCGCCATGGGCTCTCATTCACCGCCTTGGACGCAGCAGCAGCTTGACCAGCCTCCGCGTCCTCGACTTGACCCTTTGGCTCCTCTGCGCCCTTGTCCGCCGCCTTGTTGTCGGCTTCCTTGCCGCCTTTCGGCACGTAGGGCTTGATCTTGTGATCAAAGAGCTGGGCTTCTGCAACCTTTTCTTCGATGCGCATCTCGAGGCTCATGCGCGCGTGTTCCTTGCCGCGCCAGCCGAGCTTCCAGTGGTTACC